CTTTGAGGTCAAAAAGAGTTAGCAGAGTTTCGTTGTTAGCCTAGGAGATATGTGTAAATTTTCCCAAAGTGCCTAGATTCTCATATAATTTCAATACGTAGAAAAAGACGACGAGCAAATCGTCAGATCACGTGGCTGGATAAAATATGCAGTAAAAAAGTACAAAGAAAAGCCTGTAATCGTTGGGATGTCAGTTGCGGCTGCACTTCCAACACTGAGCAACCTTTGTGGCCTGTTGTTTAACGGAAGTTACGGTACGTTACTGATTATCCTCCGTTTCTATTTCATCTGTATGGGAGGAGTAGCTCGTCTGCTTTCAGGACAACGTGATGATTTAAGCATGCAGTCTCTCCAGTTGCCGTGTCATAAAATGGCACTTATTTATCCACCTCAAAACGACGAAACGCCATCAACTCGACCGCATATGAAACAATAATAATCTTCCACAGTCTCCAACGCTAACACAGCCAAGAAACCGTGGTCAAGTACAGTCAAAGTAACAGTACGGCGGACCGCGATTTCTAAAATGCTTAAAAAGCAGAGTGGGAAATTTAAAAGCGGTATGACAAAGCAACGATAGTCGGGAGATGACAGATCTGTGCATGGCTTGTAGGTAATTCTATGTAAGGGAAAAGCAAAACGAGTGGACAAACTTGGACAGAACAACTGGCAGGCAATGTCAGCATTTACCACTGAAGAAAGTATGTCTTTGATTAGCGTTTCTGTCGTCTATCAGTCGGCTTTTAAACAGTTATTTTTTCAAGATTTTCAACCGGTCTTGACCCTCCAGCAAAGCAATAATCTCTTTCGATTATGATTATAAAAACCGCGCTTTCTTCTATATTCAATACGACGTAGTCGTGAGGAACTCAATATCAGCAAGTTGAGAAGGTGGCGTTGCCGGGTGTTTGCGGATGACAACTTCCATGACCGAAAGATTACGAGGTGTGCATCCTGGATATCAGCAGGATTGATGCTCCGAATGGACTGTCCAACAATCCATCGCCAAAAATGCTCAAGAAATATTAGAGGATACAGAAAAACTGTGGCCCGATTTTTTGGGTTTACCAGCACAGTGCTAGTTATTGATAAAGCCGTTAAGATATATAATCCTTTTGAGTTTTTGATACCGGATTGAAGCGGCGTAAGCACCATCCCCTTGTTCCTAGTCGCCTAGGGAACCATTTAAACAGGCCAAGGTTCCATGGCATTTGAGCACCTGCAGTGCATGGATGCACAACCGAATCATTAGGCAGGGCCGAACAAGGGCCTGTTCGGATACCTGCAGACATGTCACGATCCGTTGGCATATTTATACAGGAAGATCAGAGGAGCATAGAGTCGAGTTCGCCGGGTTCATATTGAGGTTACGTTGTATGAAAGGATAAAAAGATACAGGATATTAAGTATTATAAGACATTTGCCACTTTGTCATCACCTAAGGAACAAACAAATTCGGTTGCCTGCCCTGGACAAGTAATAAACTTCGGAATGGAAT